GTTGGGAGCTGCACGTTAAAAATAAAAGTGAACAATAATATTTCCTTAATATGAGCTATGAATTGCTTTGGAATACCCAATACTTTGCTTTGGAAAGTCTGAATTTGTAACCTATCAGAAATATTATTTCATTATATAAAGTGGTCTTGACAGCTCTTAATGAGTAAAATTACAAATATGTAGCTTTGGATAATTTTCCTCAACTCAATAAATAAATGAACAAGTATAATGTTTTTGACTCAATTGTTTAACTGGGTTCTCTTTATCTAGTTTTAGGACTTGTGTGGAGAACAGATCATGCTTTAGGTCATATTTATGCAGAAATATTGAAAATTCAAATGGGTTCACAAACATAAGCACCACTGTAGGTTCCAGGCTTAAGGGTTTGTTTGTTTTTTTCAGTTACATAGTACTTTCCCTCATTCCTGATGGTTGCTGAATCTTGCTATCTTTGTATCAAACAGGTTTGGTTAAAGTCCAGTTATTTTTTCTCTATGGGATTTAAACTTATTCATAAAATTTTACATGATCAATATATAGAATAAAATGATGTCCAACATTGAAATGCTATTTCATTCCATATTAAAAATATGGTATTAATATAACAAATTCATATCCTTTTTTAAATCAGTATATCCTCTAGCATTTTCATGAACTTTGCAGTGAATATATTAATATAATCATGCTAATATTAATAATTGAATAAGTGTTTACTGGGTTGCAAATTATGCATGAATGTGCTGCGGATTAAAAGTTAACATATTCTTCTGCCATAGAAGTAAGAGTCGCAACATGTTTAAAGAAATATTTTAGGATAATTATAGGTTTATTATGAGAAAATAAGTCCCCTTATTTTCAGTGAGGCTTACTTCCAGGTTTGAAACTAATTTGATTAATTGTATATATTTTAGTGGATCAATAGATGAAGTAATTGTTTTGAATAGCCTGCATGTTTATGATTTAGAAATTCTGAGGGCAGAATCAATGTTGCTTGAATAGAAGTCAGTCACATAAAGGGACTTGGGGGTTCTCTGAGCTTGGTTGTTTTCTTGCAAACGTTTCATTATCCATCTAGGTAACATCCACAGTTCAACCCTGAGCTATACATATTCACTTCTATTGATAATGGGACTTTTTACTATTTCCTAAAGTTGTCTCCCCCAGGCCCTGAATCTCCGAAGCAGGCTTTTGCTGGCACCCAAGGAGCTACAGGGCTGGAGGAAGAATCAGTTCCTGAGTTCTGCTGAGTAAAGAAATTCAGCCAGTGGAAATGGAATCCTGAATTCTACCCTTAGCCAGCTTAGCCTGGATTCAATGAAATCAATCTGGCTTAAATTTATCCCAGCAATTGCAGTTACTCTAAGCCTGCTAATTTATGAATAAAACCTTTCAAAACAATAATAAGCATTTTTATTTTAAAAAATTAACCAGCTATCAATATTTTTGAAGTAATAGAAACCTAGCCCTGAATGCCTACCTTTCATTTCGGATTTCAGACAAACTGGAGAGTGAATTTTTAGTGAGGAAGAACAAGTTAAATGTTGAATTTCAATGAAAGAACAATTTTTTAATAGCAGCCAAAGGTCATTGTGGAGGATGAAGTTAGAGCATTGACAATAGTATTAAGTTTCCTCCTCATGCAATTGCCCTTTAGAGAGCTAAGCCAGAGTGAAGCCAGAGAGAAGCTGTATTAAATAACCTACTTAGAGGTGAACTATCATTGACCACCTTTGCCAAAGCACTGGTAAGCACAAGAGTGCCTCAAACCGGTTCTAGACAGTTTGAAGGGAGTAATCACAGCTACTACTCATGTTTGAGGTCTTTTCAAAAATATATGTGACTTATATCCTGTAAATATAGTAGTATTAGAATAATATAATGAATGATGCAAATATCTATAAAGCTGGGGGGCTTAGTAGACTCACTTAAGCTTTACTGCTGAAATTTGAAACAGAAATTTGTGTGAAATAAAGTTATTTCTGGTTGTCTTATTTGCCATAATGGAAAGAAATCCACGACACCATCAACATTTTGTATTATAAGAATAAGAATATTCTTTAAAATCTCAGGATGGCAATGATCCACGACACCATCAACATTTTGTATTATAAGAATAAGAATATTCTTTAAAATCTCAGGATGGCAATGATTTCTGATATTTTAGTCCTTAAAATTAATTAAATATCTTCCACTAATTAGGAAATGATAATGTAGGTATTGTATGGTATGATTAGCAGTACAATTCTGGGTTTTTTCTTACTTCTGAAACTCTAATTCAGTGTTTCTTAATGGTTGGTCCTAGGACCCCTGGGAGTCTGCAAAAATCAAAAT